GTTTATGGTTGAATGTGGGCGTGTAGAGGGCAGAACCTGAGGCGGGACCTCGTGCGCAAACTCTGACGTTTGTATATGATTTATAAAAGGAAAAATGTGCAGAAACATGCGTACACACTGTTTTATAAATCTGAATTTTTTTTGGCGTACGCCATTTCCGCCTTTTGGCCGTACGTTCACTTTTAGTATGGTTTCCACGCAATCCTTTATAAATGAGACCCCAGATCTGTAAGTGAACTGAAATGTAAGATTTATAGGTTAACGTTTCAAAGTGCCTGTGACATCAAATCTTTATAATAAATCTGAATGTATTTTTGGAAAGATAACATTGCTAACATATTGTAAAAAACATTTCACGTCACCAAGATGAACAGTTGTTGAGATATTCACATGTGAAGTAACAGGAAGTGATGTCAAAGGGGAATGTGAACAGAGCGTTGCTAAAATGGCTAACAACAGACTGTAGAGAAGAATCTGAAGTTTCTTAAGATTATTTTAATCACTATCATAGAGAGATGAGAAAGAGTCATAGTTCAAATAATATTGTTTCAGTAAACAAAAAACAGGGTGTTTTCTTTCTCAAAGAGTTCCCCTTTGATGTCACTTCCTGTTTCACTTTAGCTGAGTAAAATTAAAAAGAAAATATGCCAATTATGTGAAAAAACGGGTCAAATCATGTGTATTATGTATATTGTCTTTGACTTTTTGTATTTCATGGATAGGCACAGGCACTTTAAAATACACAAAAGTGAATATTATCACTTCTTTATTTATGTTCCCAAAATTATAATCTTTTATTATTTAAGGCCGCTGCCACTCCTCTAAAACAGCATGCTCTAAAAACAAGATTTAAACATCTTCAAATCTTCATTCACGTGATAAACCTTTTTTTTGTTTATTTGTCTTGAATAAGTTTTAAGTATAATACTTAAAAAATATGGGCATCAAATTTAAAATATCTCTTAAATGTTTCAATTTAAGATGTTTGCTACTCATTTTGAGTAACATTTTCTATTCAAAATCCAAAATGTTTTCAACAACCGATAAGTTCAGCAACTATTTGTACAAATACCAGTAGAAAACTAAAATAAAACCACAACAGAACAACAAAAAGACAGTTTGACTTTATGCTATGGTCCATCTTACCTTTGAATATTCTGTGATGGCATCTATGAGAGCTAATGTGGTCTGAGAGAGGAAAGTGCTGGAACTGTTTGTGACCAGGGAGGCTGCTCGTCTGACCAGAGAGTCATGAGAGAGATCGTCAACCTGCAGGAAAAACAACATTCTGATCAATTTACTGACACTTTAGTTCAACTTGGAAAACCTCTCCAAGTGACAGACTCACCTGTTTGAAAGGCACAGCGCACAGCCCACCGCCGACAGCTAAAGATGCCACACCTGAGTGCAGAAGTTTGCTGGATTTACGGACTGCAGGTCGTACCTTAAACAGGAAACGAGCAGAAGTCCTGAACAGATAAACAGATCAGGATTATTTGGGCAGAATGACTCAAGTCTTTAAAATAAAATACATAAATAAACATATAAACACAAGTGGTTCACAAACATTTCGCTCGTTTTTTAAGTGAAAGTTGACGTAATTCACAAATTATTCGACATTATTCAAAATTGTTTTTAAGTAAAACATATTCTGGGTATAATAAATACCACTATTTTACCAATAATGGCCAGATGTGAAGAATACTAACCGAATGAAACTGAGGTACGCTGCTCTCCACCAGAGCGCCGCCATGATAGTCCGACTCATTAAGAGGTCCGTCTCAAACAAAGGTTCCGCCTTTTCTTTGTAGTTCCGACTGGAAAATGTCACACGGTGCATTACTGCCACCTACTGTCAAATTAACAGTTTAACCCTCTACGGTACGCATAATGATGCCAGTTAGAAAAAAAATGTTTTGTATGTTTTTGACTTAAAATAGACGAAGTAAACATGATCAAGAGACATTTAAAAAAAAACATTTTTTTATTATTTTTTTTTGTTGACGTTGCCATATGGCAACACTGTACGATTGTGGAAATTATTGTAAAAACCTTTATTTAACAACTCAGATTATAGTCTTAAAAGTCCCCAATAGCATTAACAGTTAAAAATGCAACTCATTTGAAATTTGAAACCAATTAAAATGTATTTTTCAACATTTCTTTGGAGTATTTCATTTGAATAATTATTTTCATTTGATCTAATTGTCTTGATGCTACTGTCTTTGCAGGAACTGATGAAACAGTTCCTCTCAGCTGTGAGGAACAGGTAGTTCTCACACTTTGTGCACTGCACTCTGACGATACTTGTGCAGCCTGGGGATTTGCACCAGCCTCTTTTTTTGCCATGCCATCAGGCCAGTGACCATTGCTGTCCCACAATGTACAGCTGCTGGTGAAACTGGTGCAGTGGTCTTTCTGCTCCTCCTCCCAGTCACAGTGTTAGTATGTTATAAACCTGCTAATTTAATGCAACACATAAATAATAGTTGTGAACTGTAACTGCACTTTCACCCTCACCGCCCCCGTGTCCCCACTGTTTCTCTTGTCCTCGCTGTCCCCACTGTTTCTCTTGTCCTCGCTGTCCCCACTGCTTATCTTGTCCTCGCTGTCCCCACTGTTTCTCTTGTCCTCGCTGTCTCCACTGTTTCTCTTGTCCTCGCT